ATTCTAGTTGAGTTTTGACCACTCGAAGTCCATTTGCTGTTGCCTGGTTGATCACTGGTTGATCCAAAAGTCCATTAGCATCTGAAATTCTGTCCCTCATTGTTCGCAGAACAGAAGCAATTGTACGGCGAATTGGCCCTGAAGACGGCATTTCTCTTGGTTGTAGTCGACTGCAGTAGGTGGGAGTCGATTAATTGTATTTGGCTGCGAACGGTTGGTTATAGTCGACACTGGCGGTGGTCGATTATAGTTGACGGTCGGTTGAAGTTAGCGACGGTCGATTGTTGTAGTTGACTCTTACGGTCGATTATAGTTGACGGTCAATTGTAGTTGACGGTCGATTGTAGTTGACGGTCAATTGTAGTTGACGGTCGATTGTAGTTGACGGTCGATTGTAGTTGACGGTCAATTGTAGTTGACGGTCACTTGTAGTTGACGGTCGATTGTAGTTGACGGTCACTTGTAGTTGACGGTCGATTGTTTGCCCGAGGTGGCACACTGACAGTTGATTGTGGGTGCCTTCCCGGCCGTTGCACCACTTTTTGTTGGCAAGGGAGTTTGGGATTCAAGGGGAGAGCAATAGTCCGTATGAGGATGGACTATCCACGCACTGCTCTCCGAGCCAAGCCACAAAAGGTTGAAAGGAAAGAGAGGAGGGATCAACAGTCGACTGTCACAATGAAAACAATAAACAACAAAAAATAAATTTATTTCAGCCAAAATATAAGCGCACAAATATTATAGTTTAAATGGAGGAGGGTAACAAGAGCAGGGAATAGTTTAAAGAACTAATGAATAAATTCTCTCAAAAAGAGGGATTTAAATAAAGGCTGGCAGGTCTAGCTGGGTGGGGCTTATTCCGACCAGCCAGCTGGAAAAAAGGGGCGGAGCTTAAAAAATGTGTGAAAAAATAGAGAAAGGGGAGGAACACGAACAAAGATTAAATTAAACAATTGGAGTAATAAAACGGGGGAAACTTGAGTATACTTGAGTATAATAAGAAATTAAAATAAATTGAATGAAAGTCGCCTTTGGCGACAGGAAAAAATCTACTTATTTACATCAAAATTCCCAAAAATTTTTGCCTGCGGCGCTGAAATGTAAGAAATCAGCTAGGTTGTTCCTTTAAAATTCTAAATCCTCCCTAATTCCGGTACTCTGCATATCCCTCTTGTCCTTCCAAATTTTTCTTAATCCGATATTCTTCCAAACATCGAGGTATTCAAGGGATATATGATATCTATAAATTTATCAGTATTAATCACCGATATCCTCTACTTCCCTTTTTCCAATATCCTTTCGAATCCGCTCATATCCTTATTTGGGCTGTATCGAAGGATCAAAAGGTTACCACCTCCTCAGATATCATTTGAATCACAGATATTACTGTTATCTATTACGTAAAGATTTTTATGCAAAATCTTATTAATATTTTTCCCGATATACCTCAAAATCCCTGTTAATCCATTCTAGGTGATATATACTCTCCAGATATCACGCAAAATCCAAGATACTATACTATTAATCGAGCAAAAAATACATAAATCGCTCCAGATGCCTACTTATCTAAATCCATTTAACACCTTAAAATCCACCAATAACCCACTTAATCCCATCAAATCCTTTGATAATCCGATATTGCTTCAGATCCTCCAGTATTCTGGATGTAGGTATTGAGGGATGACCGAAAATTTTTGATAAATTTCTATTTTAAATAAGGAAATTTCAAAAAAAACTAAATTTTAATTACTTTTCAAATTTTGAAAAAACCGGGTCCGGGCCCGGGTGTAAAAAAACCGGGTTTTCGGGGTTTCCGGGTTTTCGAGGTTTTAGCCCGGAAAACCCGGCCCGGGTCGGGGCCCGGCCCGGGGTTCACAAAATTAGATTTATGTGAAATCTTTTAAAGTTTTTAAATAGAAAAAAATAGAAAAGAAAATATCCAACCTCTTTTTTACGCTTAAAGGTTAAACGTTAAAAAATTTTTAAATACTTAACGCCACAGTAATTTTAGATTCGGTAGCTCCAGAATGTTAAAGTTAAAAATATTTTTCAGCTCATTTTTTGCTGCTTGTTGAATTCGCAAAATGTTGAACTGTTGAACTCGCAAACTCGCAACTCAACAAACCTTATTCGGGAAATGACAATTTTTTTGTTTGTAAATTTGTTAAAATAATTATTCAACTTTCATGGAATCAATTTAAAACATCTGACTTTTTACCTCGTTATAATTTTTGAATCCCTGATACTGACCTCCATAAATGTTTCAAATTGATTAAATATGTGAGAGAGAGTTTAACACTTGATACTTTATTGCAACACGCCTAACCACGTACCAGAGGTTGGTCGGAATTTCGATTTACAAGTTCCGACGTTTTTTCCCTCTCGATTTCCCATTTACGAAATATAATAAAAATTTCCGATTTTTGATAATTTTGAATCGAAATTGACAGCAGATAGGATGTTCGGCACCTTTGTCATTTAAAATTTTTATTTTCATTTAATAGAAATGTTTATTTAATTTTAACAAATAATTTTATTACACTATAAAGTCATAAGGATAAAAATTTTATCAAAACAGATTTAAATTTAATTTAAAATAGAAAATATTAAGTTTAAATTAAATTATTATTTTTATTTTTAAATAAAAACGTGACAACTGTACTTTTTAATTTTGTTATTTTTTAAAATTAAAGATTAAACTAATAAAATAACTTATTGATAGAAAAAAACTCGTGTCAGTTTCTAATTGTTCCAATGGTTTTTATTAAATTAGAAAACTGGCTGAATTATTAGTTTTTGACACAATAATTAAAATAATTTTTAAAATTTTATATTAAAAGTATGTAAGGCTATTGTGTTTGGGTTGCCCGTAAAGGAGAAAAAAAAATAAAAGATTTCATAAATAATTAAACTTATAAAATCACATTTATAATTATTTGTATTAAATGCTAAAAATTTAGATAATTATTCTAAACTGTTCCTTTATTTAATTTTGTAATACAAATTTTGACATTGTCTTGCAAGATTTGATCAGATATCAATACAGACATATCTAAACGCTCTATTAAAGTTTCAATCCCGAGCAGATTTTTTCGAAACTTTTCATTTTATAAAAGTTTGTCTTTTCATTCTGTTGTATACTAAATTTTTTTATTACCGTTTTCTTGGAAAAAATTAGGAGTTTTCGAGAGCCTAATCCCGATGGATCCAACTGAATTACCGTATTATCACTATTAGAATGCTCTCTCCATTTGAATGCCCCCCTCTAATAGAATGTTCCTCTAGCGGAAGATCGAAAAATACAATGCCCCCTCCATTTGAATGCCTCCCTCCAATAGAATGCCCCTTTGGAAGGTGATTGAAAAATAGAATGCCCGGGCATTCTATTAGAGATAATACGGTAACCTTTTTTATCGTTTCAAATATATTCGTTAAATAAAACTCATTTCCATTGGCTAGCCTTTATTATTATAAGAATTAACAGTTTTCGCTTAAAAAATTTTCTTGTTTCTATTTTAAACTTCCCTTTTTAATTTTTAATTTTTTTATTTAATTAACATTTTTTATATTCGTTGTTACTTACATTTTATTAAAATATAAAGAAATCTTTCACGAAAACGGCATAATACATACAATGGCAAAAATTTTTTGAAATTATTCAATTGCATTATTTATAGTTTTAATTTCTGCGAAAAATATTTTTAGGCATTTTTTGAATTCTATTATAAAGCAAAATTAATAAAAAATTTGTAAAAAAAGAAATTTTACCAAAATTTTATGAGCCTAATTTAATTAACTAAACTTAATTGGCTAAATTTAAACATAAAATTTAAATTAATATTTTCAATAAGTAATAATTAATTTCTAAACAAGCTTTATAAATTCATATATTAATTAAAAATAATAAAAACAATGCATAATGTAACTCCATTTGAAATGAATTACTTGGGGCTTGATTCTGAAGAGTTTGCCAAACTAGAACTTTTTACTTCAGAACAACGTACAATTGCTTGGCTACTTATTTCAATAGAATATTTTGTTCAATTTATTAATATACCTTTTGGAATAATTAGTATAAGACTTCTATATTGTACTAGTGTAGGTTTAATAATTTAATTTTGAAATTTCATTAGCATTGTCGAATTTGGGGTTTCATGACAAGCTTTAAGGCCGATAAATAAAATTATATAGAATTTTAGAAATCAAAGGTTATTGAAAATGAATTGTTTTTAAAATCAATTCCTATCAAAAACAATAATTATCAAAAACTCAGACCTGAAAATCAGGTTTTATGAAATTGGATTAAGAACAGAAAACCCCTGATATAAATTAATAACCAATCGCGATTTTTGCTTTTGATCAGAGATGAATCGCAAATAATGAAGGTCCGGAAAATCGGAAATGGCGCAAAAATCGTAACTCGGAAGTCGGAAATCGGAATTCCGATTCGTCTCTGCTTATGATCAAAAAGACCCGCAATAAAGTAATACCTTACTATGAGATTCCAGATTTTGAAAATTAAAATTTATAATATTATTAAATTATGATGGTAAAAATTATGATAGTATTTTTAAAAAAATAAAACAATTATATGTTAAAAACGGAGATTTTATCGTGTTCTTAGACAGACTGTAAATTTACGAGATAAATGAATTCAAGATTAGTAGAACCCAAATAAAGTTATTACTGTAGAAAGGATTTTTACATTTAATAAAATCCAAATTTTAAAGAAAATCTTCAACTACATTTAAAATTTTAATTAAATATATTTAAGTTACTCCATCGAAACCTCAAATTTATTTTAATTACACAAAGCGTATTAATAATATTTGAAGCATTAATCAGGCTATTCTTCGTTGGTCCAATAAAATATTTTACGGGGGACATTTTTTGGTTTCAGACTGAATTTAGGTATTTTTAAAAATTATTTGGATTTAATAAAATTTATTTAAAGATTTCTCCCAATAAAATTTCTTGTACAACTTCCCATATTTTCTCGCATGATATTTTGTCATCTAATTATTATTGAACGAATTTGTGCCACAATTTTTATAAAATGTTATGAAACTAAAAACGGAAGAATATTTACAGCCTCATGGATTTTTATTTTTGTAGGGGTTATTTTAATTTTTCGGTTATTTTATGTTAAATATTGAGGTTACTTTTTATGAGGGGAGGTATCAGAAACAATTTTTAGTGCTTATAAGCAGCTACCAATCAGGCAATGATCCTGCAGCCACTCTGATCATACCTTTTTACATAGTATATCTGATACAAACTTAAATTCAGATTTTTGAATTTAGGATTTCTGGCCCAAAAACGTCGGAAATTCCCATTTTCCGGAGTATCCCATCTCATTTTTTCAATTTTTATGTAATTTCACAATACTTTCAGTTAATTTTGTCAGTATTAAACTTTATTCATAATGAAGAAGATGAAGCAAATGATAATTTATCTTCTCAAAATGTGACATTATCAAGTGCAATAATTTCTATATTTCTTGCTTTAATTGGATTATTTGAAATTATTGTGAGTACTAAATAAATTAAAATCAAATGAATAATAAAGAAATTTTTAGTTAATTGGAGTAATATGGAAGTACAACAAGAATAAATTAAATGGATTTTCAAATTCAAGTCAATTATCTATAATTGGTGGTAAACCTGTTGTTGTAATAAATTTTCATAGGAGAACATCTGAATATAAGCTGAAAAAGCGTTATCAGGTAAATTATAAAGTTTGTTAGGGATTTGGGTTCGATATCGGTTCGTATATTTGATACTTTCTTCTCGGACATCAATATGTATAATGATATTTTCCGCGAGGTTATGAATTTATTTGAGATTAAAAGGTATATGTAGTATCCAGGGATTAAAAGGTGAAAAGTTCCATGAAAGAAGTCGGGTTTCGGTGGGTAGAAGTTCATCATTCCGATAGTTGAAGAGGACTTAATGTGTAGATAGTTCCACGAGTTTGTTGAAAATAAAATTGTGTAAATTGGATTTTCGAAGATAAAATTTTTCTAATTCACATTTAATTTTTAAAGTATTTGGAAAACATGCGCAGCGCATTTCAATTGGCGCCAACAATTCTTGCTTATTTCATTGCGGGTGTTTCGACAGCATTTTCGCAAACATTTTACTCAATTATCTTTGAAGCAGATGATTTTAAATGTGAAATAATTGTTAGTTATTAATAAATAATGAAGGACTCGCGTAATATCATATACTAGGTTAGGTATAACAGAATTATATTCACAAAATGAGGTCCCGGAATTAAAGAGCAAAATACCGATAGGAATAAAAGCATAGATCTCCCATTATCATGCTTATGCATAAGTGTTGTCTGGGGTCTTTCTGAGGTTGCCAAGGTCAACAAGCACAAGATAAACAGTATATCCAAGTAAGAAAGTGCTAATATCTGTAAAGATGGTTTTGGTGTTGGATCAGGAGATCAGGGACGAGATCACAGTATGATCAAATTGGAATAACGATGAACTGCTCTAAATATATGCATTTCAAATGTTATCTTACTACCTTTTACATTTGATGGGGTTTAAATGGAGATTGATAAAAATATACACGCGGGTTTATGAGTTAGGTATTTCTGAATAGTTATGAAAAATAATATCAGAAATATACATACACTCTGTTAACTAATTATACGCACCCCTTATTTTTTGGGTTTTTCAAACTGAAATTAATTAATTTTAGTCACAATTGAACAATTTGTTTATTGCGTTTATTAACTTTTTAATAATTTCTACAACAATTTTGTGAGTTAAAAATAATTTTTATTCCATTATTAAATCAAATCTTTTTAGTTTTCATAAAATTCTAAGAAAGAATTTCTTCAAAATTTTTAACAAAATATTTTGTTGTTCTCCAAAAATAAAGAAATCTCTGGAGAAGAGTACAATAAATAAAATTACTCCAACTGTGGCACAACAACAAACTGAAAAATATTTTGCAATGTTGAAAGGGACTTGGGATTAATAATTAAAAAATTTAAAAATATATTTTGATTTAAATAATCATGTAAATTTAAAATAATTTTATATATTATGTATGAAACTAGAGTTGCGCGAGATCGAAGATCACAGTTTAAAAAAGCCGAGATCGAAGGTCAACTTTGACACGAGGTCCGTTGTCAAGGTGTGAGGATAACCAAGGTTTTTAAAAAATTCTAATCTTTTGAAATTAAATTTGCTAAATTTTTCAAATATCAATGGAGCAAATAAGTGAATTTTTTGGCCTACGGCCTTACAAAATTTTTAAAATTTTTTAATGCGGCGCTAAAAATGAAATTTTACTCAAAAACTATTTTTAAATATATTATGCATCTTTCAAAAAATTTTCAACATTAAATTTGTTACAATCCTTATCATTCCAAAATTTATTTAAATCAATTATATTCTTTGATTTTTCTTCAAATTGTTTAGTAGCATATTCACATATTTTACATATTGGAGAATAATCATGGCCAAATCTTCTTTTTGTATATGTTTTTGTCCATTCAAAATGTCTGTATTTTAAATAAACTTTACTGGGCTGAAAAAATTAATGTCCCAAACTAGTGATATTTTTGTAAGAGGAACTGAGGCACACACAATTAGTAAAACTTTATGAAGCTCTTCTAGATAAAGATTTTTCCGAGTCATTTGATAACAAGATCAAGCTCTTAAAAAATCTTGATAATCGAACTATACGAGGACTCATTAGGTATTTTCACTACTCGAACCCCCCCCCCCATTTTTCAGTACTAGAGGCCGATAGTTTTACTAAGATTGAGTTTTATCTGACCGTACTCAATTTTTTAAATTTACTTTAAATATCTTTCCGTATCATTTTGCAAAGCCTTTAAATGTGCAACAAATTCATTTACGGATTTAAAATCATCCAAAGCAATAAATGCATTAGAAGGAACATCCATTCCTTCAAAAACAGATCTACTAAAAACTACAGGTACTGTAAGTGATCTTAACGAATTCCAAAATTTTTCTGTTACATAATTGTGACAAATATTATTCTCCAATGCCAAATAAAACATGTGGGTTTCTAAAAATTATTTATTATACATAAGTTTACGGAAATAAAGGTTCAAATTCTAGCTTGAATTTGGGGCCCTATATGCATGAATACATTCAGGGATCACTCGGTGAAAATGAATTCGGCCTGTAAATTCGGAAGCAAGTGTCTTGTTGACTTTTAATCAAATTTAATATTACCTAAATTTCGTTTATAGCATTCATCATTACACCCTCTTCTAAAACAAATACCAACAACCTCCAATCCTATCAGCTTTTGTAGTCTTTTTGAAATAAGATCACGACCAGATGTAGCATTACAATGTGAAATTGCTTGGAAGGCCAATTTTGTTTTATTTTTAACTCTTGCCACAACCTTTAATTTGTTTTTATGATTAAACTTTCGCATTAAAAGTATTCTGGGAAGTCAAAATGATATCCCTGATAGGAAGATTTATATTCACTAATGAAAATCCTTTTTAAGAAGGATTGCTTCTTATTAGAGTAAATTCGAGTTACTCAACTCGACCTCTCGGGTTTCTTGCGTAATTACTCGTTTCGAAACTCGGGATTCTAGTACTCGGATTACTCAAGCTCGGAAATTTGTTACTCTCAGTACTCGACTTACATCTCATTTCTCTTATCATTTCTCTTATCACTTGACTTTGAAAAACACGAGTTTGAGCTCTAGCTCTAAATTTATCTGGGAGCATTTTTACCTCTTCTTGATCCCAAATATATTCTTTTGGAGTAGTTGGAGTAATTCTAGTTAAAGCATCATATGGCATAAATACAGAACTATCTAAACGATAGGTAGCTGAACTATTTAAAAATTTGTTTGTTAGAAATTTTCTGTCATAATGTCTCAAAGTTTCTGTAGGACTTTCAACTGTATACATCATATAATTTTGATCTTCTCTGCGATTCTGGGGCCATTCGTTTATTAAACAAAATACATGTATAAAGAAAAGTATAGTTGAAACATTCATCTCACTTGAATAATAAAACATCTATATAGGAGAAGAAGTGTTTGTTATAGTTGATAATAATTTACCTAATCGAGCCCAAATATGAACTTGAGCTTGATCAATTATTTTTGAACTGAGCTTAAGTTAATCTCGAAATAATATAGCTCGAAACACCTAATAGTGTTGCATATCTTATCTATCCTATCTTGCTATTTCTGGTGTTTTTTATTAAATCCAAACATACAATTTTCTATCGTTAGTAAAAGTGCAATTGAAAGGACATTTAATGTTTGAATTAATCACTGGATAATCTGGATAACCAATTCCTTGACTTTTTACTTCAATACATTTATTCCAAATCAAAATTGGGGGCATTTTCTGCTTTTTAATATTTATCTTAATTAAATTTAATTAAAAATTAGAAATTAAATGATTTAGGTAGTTTTTTAAATGCTTTATATTTTCAAAGTTATAGAGTTTGGGTTACTCGACTCAACCGCTCAATTTTTTTTGTCATTACTCGGGCTCGATACTCGGGATCCTAATACTAGGTTACTCGAGCTCGAAAACAAGTTACTCGAAAGACTCAGTTCAAATCGAGTATTTTTATGCCCCTATCTTGGCGCAAAAAGGAAGATATTTAGATTGAGGATCTTCCAAATTTCTCAAAATTTTCGCATGCGGTGCTGAAAATGGAAGACTTAGTATGTGTATATCGGAGGATTTGAATTAAGTTAGGAACGGAAGATTTGAATGGATTCTACAAAATATCCCGAAATAAAATTATCCATTAATTTTCAACCCGAAGCTTACTCGACGTACTCTAACTCTTATACCAAGTAACCTTAAAAATACTACAACTTTTTTAAAGTCATACAATCTTTTAATTATCTCAAGGAATCATGTCCTTTAAATTCAAACCCCTTTGCGGATTCCTGAAAATATAAATAAGCATACCAACTTATTTAAATCCTTTAAAATATAATTAATACCGACTTAGACGATTTGAGAATATAAAGTTGATCTTGTTGGTTATAATTTAGATAATATAATGAATTTAATATTAACATTATAAATAGAATTAGACAACAAATAAATTTTGAAAAATCTATAATTTTGGTTAAGAAACCGACAAAAATTCAATAAATAGTCTAAAAGTTTTATAAGAAAATTATTTTATTTATTTTAGCTAAACCACGTTACTTAATTCTAAAAAAGTCATTCAACAATAAATATGTATATATGCAAACATTTATGTCAACTTTTTATCCTTTCTTTAGTAATGTAACGTTAATGATGACAATGTTAACTTACAACTAGAGTTGGACAAGACGAGACCGATACCGAGACCGATACCGAGATTCTCGGCTTTTTCCAATATCGGTCTCGGTTTTTTCATTCTCGTTCTCGAAACCGATACCGATATTCTCGGTCCATTTCTCGGCGAGAAACGATACTGACTTAAAGACCCTAATTTTCTTGTATTTTTTAATAAAACTGAGAATTTTTGACCTTTGGCCTTCTGAATTTCAAAAAATTTTCGCCTGCGGCGCCGAAAAGAGTGAATCCTTCTTTATTTGCCTTACAAAATCCGAGCATTTATCTAAGCCCTCAAGATTGAGTTCGCACGACTCTTTTATTATCAACTGAGTCACAGTAATTTAATAAAATTAAAAGGCTTAAATACAATACTGGGTATATACAATACTGGGTTATTTGGAGAGATTTGGGTGTTTAAGGGGATATCAATGGATTTGGAGGAATATCGAATGTAAGGCGTATATCGATATATTTGGGAAGCTAATGGCGGATTAAGTGGACTATAAAGTAGACTATAATCCTTTTACTTATAAATCCTACTATTGTATTTTTTATAAAAAGGATGTTAACCATCAATCGAATCGGATCCAGATGATGAAAGTATTTATCTGATGATTTGTATGATGAAAATAATGAATAAATTATTTTTACACGTATTTTTTGACGTAAAATTAAATTTCCTGTTAGTCTCGGACAGTATCG